AATGTCTTTATTCAACCTCAAATACTATGTAACTATGTAACTATGAATGTGCATGCATTGCAGTGATGTACTGAAGGTTGTGTTTTGTTGGTTTATGTTTCCCTAATATACACTTTTGTGTTTTTTTTTTTTTTTCTTTTCAATTTTGCATTTTCACTTTCATGTGGTTGGGCTTGTAAAATTCCATTTTGTAGCTGTGAATTTTATGTATGTATATTTTTCTGTAATATTTATCAGGCTTGGCCATGCTGCTTCTTCTACACCAACTGGTAGCCAGACTTGGCAAGATAACAGCTCTAGGAAAAGTTCTCGAGAAAACATATGTAGCATCAGGAAGCAAAAAAACACTTCTTGTTTACTTATTCAGTTACTATATGTACAGTATTGGCGTGTTGCAGCTTTTGGTACATAATGGCTAATGCGGTATAATATCTACCAGGATTTATGTAAAACTGTCATCCAAGAAACAAGGTGACAGCCATTCCTGACCTTCTACTGAAAATGCTTGTTAACTGGCTGGTTGTCTCTAAGTAATGGACTCACAGCAAGTATGCAGATCAGAGGAGTCCTGATCTTTATAATACATGCTTGTTCCAGGTCATTCATTTGAAAGTTTTAAGGACGAGGGTTAGCTTGACAGCCAGATGGCTAGAGAGTTGTCTTAGGGACTTGTGTCCAAATTGGAGGATTTACACTCGCTTCTTGCTGTGGTGACAACTTTAAACTTTTGTTTTTTCCATTACTTTCTGTCTATTATAACGGTAAAGAGGACAAGAAGAGGGGTGAATCTTCCCGGCAAGGACACAAACGGCAATAAAAACCTGACTGGGAGGGGGGTGGTCTAACGCTCTATCCAAAACTGACTTGAAAAAAAAAATAATGCCTTTTACATACACTTTAATGCTGTACTCCAGGAAAAGCACTTGGAGTGGGAATTATCAAAACGGCACCAGACAGAATCTGAAGCAGTTGCCCATGGCAACCAATCTTTTATATTCAAACCTTTACCCATATCATCAAAATAACAACAAAGGCACCATTAGAAATATTCAGTAATGATAATCTACAAACAGATGCTTCTAGAAAGGGGCGTAACTAGAAATCACAGGGCCCCATAGCAAAATTTTGTATGGGGCCCTGTGATTTTCTTGTTACGCCCACCTGATAACCCAAACAGCCCACTTGAGGGTGACCCTGCAGAGCCCACCATAGACTATGGTGGGCTCTTCAGGGTCTCAGGCGGGCGGTCAAGCCCTCTTACCTGTCATCCCTGATCCTCTGTCCGCCTCCTTCTCCTCCACGATCGACTCCTCCGTCACTGGACCCCGCCTCCTCGATAGCTGTACCCCGCCTCCTCGATAGCTGTACCCCGCCTCCTCGATAGC